TGTGCGAGAAGCCAGAAAACTCTGTCACCAGGAAGACAGGTGTGTATTTCAATAGGAGTATACACTATTGTTCAAAATTTTGGGGTTGGTAAGATTTTTGTTTTAAGTCTCTTATGCTCACCAAGTTAGAATTTGATCAAAAATACAGTAATATTGTGAAGTATTGCAGTTTAAAATAACTATTTTCTATTTTAATATATTTTATAATGTAATTTATTCCTGTGATGCAAAGCTGAATTTTCAGCAGCCATTACTCCAGTCTTATGTGTCACATGATCCTTCAGAAATCGTTCTAATATCTAATATAATATTTCTTATCACAGTTTAAAGTCGTCTTTTCCAAGATCAAAGGAAAATTATTTATTTGAAATCGTTTTTTTTGTAACATTATAAATGTCTTTACTGCCACATTTGTGTTTCAAAATTGTTTGCATGTCAGATGGTTGCATTTCCTCTTACAGTGACTATAAAGTGCCATTGGCAGCACTGTCCAAGAGCCAACTTGCCCTGTGTCACCCAGAGAAGGAGTTGCTCCCCCTGGTGTTAGCTAACTGCCATTACAAACTAGAGAAGGGTCAGCAAACAGTGAGCTCCAATGATCATAAGGCTATTGAGAGAGAACTCAGCAGACGGTTTTTTGCAGGCAAACCCCGCATTCAAACAGTGAGTCTACACATTTTAAAACGTATTATCATACTAGTGTTAAATATATGACCAGATTCATTAGTTACTACAGTGGGAACTCATAATTAAAAATTTCATGCAGGACACTGATAAATATTTAAGAAGACACCATCAGAATTTTATAGAAGTCCTCAATGAAGTCAGAGCCAAAATGCCTCAGGTAATTTTCTTCAGTGTCTTTGCACTTCGTTCAGTTTACTAACAGTAGGTCTCGGTGGAGCAAATGCTTCTGGTTTATTGGTGACATACAGTAGAAATATAATCTATAATTATTTATAAATATATATTTATTCAATTGAATACATTTTCTTCTTAAGGAAGCCTCATTTTTTCTTTCTGATTTACAGGAAGCACTCAAGGCCTCTGTGCTCAGCTCCATGAGATCAATGCTACGTTCATTCACTGATGTGTGTGACGCAGTTTATGCCGTGGAGATTGGGGTTCGTTTCCTAGGTAAAACCGGTGGAGACCCACAAGTTCTGCTGCTGTCCTATCTGACAGACTCCTTGAAAATGGACCAACACATCTCAAGCACCATAGCTGGGGTGAGGCATGTGTTTAAAGTAGTAACTAAAAGCGAATTTAACCAAGCAGCTATTTTGCCACTACTATCAGCGTATATAATCTGTCTGCTTCTGTAATTTGATTCCACGCTGCTTGGTTTCAGGCTTTAAAAGAGAACCGGCTTAGTCAGTGCACAGCCACATGGCAGCTCCTTACCTGCTGGAAGAGTGAACAGATGATGAGGAAAGGACAGGTAATTTGACATTCAGCTTTTGTGACATATAGTACTGTATATCATTAATACCAATCACATAGTATCTATGTATCTAAACTCTTAAGTAATTACATTCCAATTTCTAGGATTTGTTTTCTTCTTCTCTCACTAGACTCTACTTAATTTTACATTGAGCCTATAGGATGCATGCTTCATTATTATTTATTCAGCAAGAACACATTAAATTATTATGAAAGTGACAGTTAAGACATTTATGTTACAAAAGATTTCTATTTCAAATAAATGTTTATCTTTTGAAAAATTTAATAAAAAAAATACTGATAAACTGCATCATGGTTTCCACAAAAAAATATTAAGCAGCACTGTTTTTCAACATTGATAATAATAAAAAAAAAAATGTAAGCACAAAATCAGCATATTCAAATCACTTCTGAAAGATTTTGAGTTACTGAAGAATGGAGTAATGACTGCTAAAAATGCAGCTTTGCGATTGCAGGAATAAAATACAATTTAAAATATAGAAAATAGTTATTTTAAATAATAATAATATTTTACAATATTACTGTTTCACAATATTTCATTGTTTTTATTGTATTTTTGATCAAATAAATGCAGCCTTGATGAGCATAAAAGACTTATTTCCAAAACATAAAATAATAATAATAATCTTACTTAGCCCACACTTTTGAATGGTAGTGTATGCATGAATAACTTAAGACAGAATAAATGTTTTCACAGAGCATTCCTTGTACAGGCAGCTAATTTCTAATTCCCTCCTTCTGTTCAGCTATTTAGCCTGTCACTAAACTGACCCCATTACTGCTGACCTCTGTTGACCTCCTCTGATTGATCCTAAACAACAGAGAGAGTGGACATACGAGGGTTGTAAATCCAAGGGAAAGTGTTGGTCAGAGTGTGCCAAGCTTTAACAAGCGAGCGTGTGCCACCAACAGTTCAAAGACTTTTAACCCAAGCTTTTCTGATTAGCTGGACAATATTGCTCAGTTAAATAATACGTTAAGACATCATTTAAACGTCATCCCAGAACATATTCATGATGTTTGCATCTTTATTGGTCAGGTATCTTCTGATTTCTGTCATTTGCTTTAAATCTTTCAATGCACAATTTTGCAGGATCCATTCCAGCGACTGTCCAAAGACTTCAGAGATAAACTGACTTCAGAGGAAAGAATGCAGGTGAAGGTTTTCCTTGGGCTCACAGATACTGACCTTTTCTCTTTGGAGCTACATGAAATCCTTCAGCTCAAGACCAACAGCACTGTTGAAGAGGGCTTCGCTCCGCACTGGGAGTAAGAACTGATCTTATTTTTAAAATATTTTTATATAATTTATCCAGCATTCCAGCCGTCTGGACTGCAGCCTTTTGGACTCACCATTTGTGAGGGTGGGTTTTGATGAGGCAAACTGGCCACAAAAGGCAAAGTAGGCCTGACCATTTTTCACAGATGTCTGACATTTGACTTTGTACATTTTAAAAGGTAGAATGTGTCAGTCAGTCATTATCACAAAATACCTTCAAACCTTCACAGCGTCATCAGCTAATTATCAAACAAATAAATAAATGGACATGAAATACTGATTTGAAAATTAATTTGTAATATGAAACCACAGAGTTATATGACAAACATTATAGAAAAATATACAGCAAAATTCCAGTCAAGTATTTTAAATCACTGTATAGTAATTCATTTTAAAATTGCATTATAATGAAACGTATAACTTTTGAAATCTGGTTTGTGATTGTAAACATTAATCCTGAATGTTGTACAATTAAGTGTCAAATTGTTCAGGGTAATTGTTCTTAAAATAAAAAGTCAGGAAATGTTCTGGCATCCAAAGCAAATGCATCTAAAAAGATCCTATAGCATTTAGTGCCAAGTACTACAACACAAAGCGACATAAGGGTCTTTTAAGTTTTTACTCAGAAAGGGGACTTTCAATCACAACAATGCAGACCTCCCAGACCTAGTCATTCCCCGGAGACCTGTGGGCTTTCAGACCCAACAGAGGCACACTTTGACCCCTCCAGGCTCCCATCTGTCAGTGTGCCCTGCTCTAGTCACCTACTGAGCAGGCAGCTGGTCAGAATGAAAAGGAATGCGTCTGCTGAGAACAATAGAATCCAATGCTAACTGTTGATCCTAAACCACACCACTGAACACCCTTCCTCCTCTCTCTCTCTCTCTCTCTCTGTGTTTCACAACATAGCATCAGGTCCACCATGGAATCCCATTTGGAGATGAAGAACATCACCTCTTTTCCAGGTCTAGACAGTCTTCCTGAGGAAATTACTTTGGCTAAAGCTGCAGAAATCTGGAGGCTTGCAGTGGAGTTCAAACACTGAAAAGTACTTCTGAATAAGCCAAGCCAAAATGAATAATACAAATGTGAAAAGATCTGGACCGCTTTGATTTTTATTTTTTGTCAGATGTTGCTGCCTTTGTCATGTCTGTTGTATAGTACAGATTTATGACTCACTCCAACACACTAAATCTATGTCTTTATATTGTTTATCCAGTTGATTAAAAATAATCTATGTTTACTCTTTAGGGCTTTGAATATGTCTTCATATTATTGAGCAATTTATTGTTTAGAGATTTGTATAAATATTTGATTCAGGGAACAAGAATTAATTAAACAATACTGTATTGCTGTAACACATTTGTCTCATTTAGTGCTCCACGCTATTAATCAGGGCCAAATAAAGTTGTATTACTGATCAACAGTGCATTTACATTGTTACAAATTTGTTTTGTATACAAAATACCTGAAAACTTATCCAATTATTTAGTAGCATTGTAAAATTGTGCTAGAAACTAAAATTAATAGTTCTTTTTTCTTATAATAATTTAAAAATGAAATTAAAATTATTTTATAAAATACAACATTTAGTAATATAAATTAACTTTTGCCATGTTTAATAGTTTTTAAACCCTTACACAAGAATTTAGCACAGTAGCTCAAATTGACGCCACATCTGCCGCCGGTGCAGCACGCTTACCAACCTTGCCTTATCTTCACGCCTCTTTCAGCTATCAATCCAAAAGACACACCCAAACAGCCAATCAGATCACTAGAACGCTCCGCGCTCCACCAATCAAAACTCTCAATGGGCGGAGTTCCTGTATGTTTTCTGGTTTCCAATGAGAAGATGTTGCGCTGTGGAGTTGGAGACAGATGAGAAATCACTGTTTTACGCTCCGAACGGGAATAACGACACTCTTATTTGAATAAAGACAGTTTCTTCATCTGATGTGGACAATTTAGAGAAGGTAAGCAATGGATTGACAGTTTAATCCTGCTGTATTCATCGTGTTTAACATGTGAAGCCAGCAAGAAGTGCTGCAAGAAAGACAGTTTCGCCATAGCTGAACCAGTGCAATCCTGTGGTAGTATACAGTAACTATTCAGTTAAACATATATGTATATATATGTTTACATATTTCTCAAAGGCAGTGTATTGCGTATTGACCTTCATCAGGTTTGTGCCGATACCGGAGGAGGCCTTTGGTGTTAAATGTCTTTGTTTTTGTATGTTTGAACTGTAGATTATCCACTCTTATTTGAATAAAGACAGTTTCTTCATCTGATGTGGACAATTTAGAGAAGGTAAGCAATGGATTGACAGTTTAATCCTGCTGTATTCATCGTGTTTAACATGTGAAGCCAGCAAGAAGTGCTGCAAGAAAGACAGTTTCGCCATAGCTGAACCAGTGCAATCCTGTGGTAGTATACAGTAACTATTCAGTTAAACATATATGTTTATGTTTTTGCATATTTCTCAAAGGCAGTGTATTGCGTATTGACCTTCATCAGGTTTGTGCCGATACCGGAGGAGGCCTTTGGTGTTAAATGTCTTTGTTTTTGTATGTTTGAACTGTAGATTATCAAGATAGAAAGACCTAGACTATTATATCACGATTTTTTTGTATATCTTCTTTTATATATAGATTATTTTCAGTATACATAAAGAATATCGTAAACTATTTAGGTGTTTGGAAATTTGATATATGATGGAAAGTGTGGATGCTTTGAATCTGTTACCATAGAAGCACACCCGTGGATGCCTTTATTTGTGCCGTTCAGCAGCAACTTTTACAGTATTTTTGTTGACATGAAATACTGACCTGCTATTATTTAATGTTTTCCACCTGCTTCTGATCCGTAGGATCAGTCGGTCATGGAAAACCTGGAAATATAATGGAAATGTAATGGAACATTGAGATTTCCAGGGCTGGGAAAGTGATGGAAATGTGTATAGTGAATATAAATGTTTCTAGTTATGCTCAGCTGTAAAATATTTAATCAGTGTAGATATAATGTATATACAATTTTTTTAAATTTAAATACTTATTTAGTAATATCTAGAAATTGGAAAAATCACGGAAATTCATTGGTCAAAAGTTGTGGGAATCCTGACTTTATCCAGCATCACATGTTGGTTGCATCTTGTGCATTTGTCAGTTTTTATGACTGAATCCTCTTCTTTGTCCATAATTTTAAGATGCATACAACTCGCAGTCCATCCGCATCCATCCAGACAGGGGCAGCTGGAGATGTTCTGGACCTTAGCCTGACTGGCTCTCTGCTCACAGTGGGCCGCAGACCCAGCAGCGCTTCACCTGGAAAACACTTCTCTCGATCCATATCTGTGTCTGTGGCCAGTGATGGCCGGGGGAAGCGAAACACTTTGGTGAGTCTGGCTAGAAGATTGTGTAATTATCAAGAAGATGGTAGTAAGTGTACCTTGTATAAAGTCATTGAGTGATGGTCCTACAAGCAGGTTATTAATGCGATAACCATGCAAATGAAAGCATAAAATTGGACTGTCTATACCACCATCTTCACTTGGAGACTTGCATTTGTCATAAAGGCAGCTTTTCTGAAATGCATGATGTTGTCTTTGCCTTTTGAGACTGCTTTATTAAGATTTAGACAAATGCAAATCAGGATATTTCACTCTCATTATACTAACTCCATTCTTTCTTTGTTTAAAGAAAATAAAATTCTGTCATTATTTTTTGTGGAACACAAAACAATGTAGTTTTTGAAGCATTACATTTCAAGTTGTCTGAAGCCATACAATAACTTGGTTTAAGAACAGACAGAAATCAATAAAATATGCCATTTATTGTGCAGTTTGGACACCAGTAACATCAAATAGCATTGGTTATCTCTTAACCAAATGTCATAACTGCAAGTGAGAGTTGCTCCATTTCAGACCTGTTTTTAGTCTTCAGAAGGCCTAGTATTATAACTGTTTTGCGCTTTCTGTTGTTGGCAGACTGATGCTGGATTGGGAGGCTCACGAGCAATTAAGAATCTGCGACGGTCCAACAGCACCACACAGGTGAACCAGCAGGCCAACACAAGCCCCAGGTACAGAACCATCTGTCATTCCTTTGCATGCCATTTTGAAAGTTTGTCTCCTTTGGTGTTGATGCTGA